TATCATCATTAACTCGAATACGCTGAATAGCTTCAAACATAGGTTGGATGCTTATATGAGCGATAGGGGTTGGGTGTAAACGGGACTGCCCAGTATGGGCCAATAGGCCCGCTGCAGTTTCCTCCTTTCTTATGTTCTTATGTTAGTGTATTTGTGTGTGTTTAGACCGAATATGACCTTCATTTCTGGCGGAAATTAGCCGGGTTTTTTTATCGAATTTTTTTCGTTGGACGTTTACCGAATATAAATAATGGCGAAGCGAATTAAAAAAAAACATTAGAAAAACAAAAACCAAACCAAATCTAACTGACTCTCACCATATGATGGAATCACCTATTTCTTACCTTAATGGCCTGGTTCTTGTTCGTTGTTGGATTCTGAGATTCTTACACAACGCCACATATGTTGGTCTTTGCGATATTTACATTCAGTCTTGCACTGATGACACTTTACTGAGGTTGGAAGAACACCATGCGATCGAAAAAATGCTATAGTTTCTTCGTTTTTTTTCCCCAAAACTCGCAATCAGCTCCATATAATTTAAGTGACACCCATCACAGACTTCCACGATTGGAAATGTATATGAATTTGGAAATATGAGAGACCCAAAATAAAAATCGATTTTGATTGCTACAAAAATACCGCGAATTAAACCACAAATCATTTTAATTGGTTGCAAAGAAAAAAACGAGTTTGATTGGTCGCGTGAGGTGTACGGGAACACAAGTGCGTGATAATTTATGAAGGAGACACGCAGTGTGAGAGGTGAGGGAGGTGATAATGGCGGAAAATTAATGGAAGAAAATAGAGAAAATTTTTGATATGCTTTCTCCGTCATTATACATTTCCGCCGGTAATGTAATAGATGAAAATTGTCTTATAATTAGACGTCTTATTAGAATATGATAATACTGTAGATTAGTGGTAGGAATGTGTGGTGTGTAAACGCAAAAATACCGCACTAATGCTTGCTGTTGAGAGAAGTATAAGAATGTTTCCTGGCTTAAAGTCGTATTTCCTCAGTCAATGTATTTTTGCCACATTCAGTGAAGGTTCTACCAAATAAACTTGAAGAAGGTGGATTAATTGACTCGTCTGCATTTAAGAAAATAGTTACAGATTTTTATGACGTGTTCAGTATTTAGGCAAGATTTTGCACATATGCAGTAGGCTTCATTAAAGCAAATACCAAAATGGCAAGATGTTGAGAAAACGATGGATTTTGCTGCAGAAAGGAAATTCTATGATTCAAAGTTTGATAATGAGTTATTTGACGAGTTTTGTTGTGTTACAAGCTATATTTCTGAGGAAAAAGTGTCCGAGTGGAATGCAGTTAGTAGAGTTAGGTTATGTTAGCTGACCGTTAGTAGAGTTAGGTTATGTTAGCTTATCGTTAGTAGTTAGGTTATGTTAGGTTAGCAGAGTTAGGATATGTTAGATTAGTAGAGTTAGGTTAGGTTAGTAGAGTTAGGTTATGTAAGATTAGTATAGTTAGGTTAGGATTAATTAAGCTAGGTTAGTTAAGTTGAGTCTCGGGTCTTGGCGTCAGTGAGTCCTGAGCGCTAGCCGGGTTCCCCCTCCTGGCCAGAGCTTCGCACCTCGGCAGTTTTTATGATTGTACTGATTTGATGTGGAAATGTTACGAGAAATGTCAAAAATATATTCATTGTTTTTATATCAACTTGGCCTCCCGGTGCTGCCACATTTAACTATTTTCCTTAATATTAACATTACAGTCGCCAGAAATGTTAACTCTATGTAACTATATGATTATTAGGAAGCCTGTCACTTGTTTACGTTCATTTTCCTGTGTGGATGACAGACAGACAGACACACAGTAACGACAATAGTGTGGTAGTTTTAGCGGCAGTTGGCAACAGGCAGTATAGAGAGGGAGGAAGGTGTGCACAGTGTAGGCTGTGTAGCCACATGGAGTCGTTAGTGTGGTGGTGACCAGGACAGGAGTCGCGTCACACTACAAGGATGGCCGCCAGAAAATCACTTGTTTCCTGCACCACCAGGTTAGCCCATGACGTCTGATTCTCAGAAGCTCTTTTGCAGGGTATTAAGTCTTCCAAGTAACTGGGGGGGGGGTGAAATGATAGTTACTTACGATAGAATATTGGAACAATTTAACTGTTGTATTTTTGGCCGGAAAGTTTGCGCCGTGGCTTTAAGGAGCTGATTAACTGCGTTTCCATAACTCGTATTAAAGGACAAAAAAAAAATAGTTTATACAAATCTTGACCCAAGACTCGAATAGTTTCATTACGATGAACAAGTCTTATTAATAAACAGCTCCAAATAAAGTGTCAAGGTGAATAAATCCTAAAGATAGCTCCTGTTACGAGCTAATATGGACGAATCTTGTTACTATGATTGACCACTAATAATATGGTTACAGTAATACTGGTTACCTGAACCATGTCACGGGTTGCAGGTCAAATAGACCCCAGTCCTGAGGGGCCACAACTTAATCTAACCTAACCATTTGGAATGGCCCCATAAGGACTCGCCTCCAGTAAGATTGAGCCCATTAGGATTGTTTCCCATTGAGACTGGACCTAAATCCCAATCGTTGAGCTTTATATAGGACGGGACCATAAGGATTGGGCCATAATCTTAATGGTTTGGTAATGTTGGGGTCTGCTGGATGACTCACCATCTCTCTCCTGTAGATGGTGGAGGTTGTTGATCAAGGTGGCCCGGGTGGCGTTGTTGGTCGTGGCATTCACCCTCCACGCCCACACTCCTGTAGCTGCTGCTGTACACCCCTTCCCAGCTCACAGCTTGGGTGGTTGGACGGCAGAAGAGACCGAGGGTAGCGTCATGGCCCAGATAACGAGGCAGTACCTGGGTGGGTGTCACCTGACGATGGTAACATCAAATCATCACAACACCGCCTTCAATAACGACTTCAGGTGGGTCTCATCTCAACATCATCTCGAATAAATTAATTATAAATCTATGCACTGTAGGCAGGAGACGGACGAGGGCTGGTCAGGTGTAGCTTCTATAATAGGGTCATTCCGGTATGGAAGGTCGGCAGGCGATACAGCATCCACGAGGTTGTCATTATGAGGGTGAGAGAGAGCCAGATGCTGTTAAATCTTTCTCCTGACATTCTTTTTATGGTAAGGAGTTGACTATTGGATTCCAGTTTATGATGACATGTTTGTTATTCTCTCATGAATTACACGTATATATATATATATATATATATATATATATATATATATATATATATATATATATATATATATATATATATATATATATATATATATATATATATATATATATATATATATATATATATTATGGTGGTCCTTATTTTCGGGCAAAAAACAAAATTTGTCATTTTTTTGTCACAGACCCTGGCAAAAGTTTCCATTTGGGGTAGAAACATTGCCTGTAAAATATTTTTTAATTATCTTAATAATTAGAGGTTGGTCAAGTCAGATGAAATTTAACAATATTATGCCTATGCTTAATGTTCATAACACATCATTTCCTAGCCCCCAAGCCTGGGCCCCCCCACTTAGTCTAAGTGGGTATTAGCTGCTCAAGGCAGGGGTCGCATGAGGACCAGTCTCACTCTTTGTCGCCCAGTAAGGTCTGCTTGAGGGCATTAGGGAATGATTTCCTGTGGTCAGCAACTGCCTGCAGTAGATACTGCAGTTGCTGCTCGTCCTTGGTGATGCGGCCTGAGAAATCTTGGACTAAGGCTACTCCTCTTTCTGCATGATCATTGATCACAGACAAAGCTTGTACAATGGCTTTTGCATTTTGGAAGCCAGGATCATCTTTCCACTGTTCTACTGGGAGGGCCAGGAAATCTGTATTCAAGTTGAGCTTTTTGATAAATGACTTTGTGTTCCTTGTCGTGAAATCATATAGGTTCTTCACTTGGAGTGTGTCTGGATTGATTGTAACCCGTTTGACATGCTTTTCTTCCCCAATAACGATGTTCATAGCTTCCAACATGCGGTCCTTCACTGCTGGGAGAACATCGTCATCAAAGAAGGCCAATGCAACCAACTCTTCTGACAAGTATCAGAGGTGTCTCATCATTTTTTGGAAAGTTGCCTTTGATATGGCATCGCTGATGGTACTGAAGTCTTGTAGAGCTTTAAGCAACATCAGATCTCCTTTTGGTGCCGTTGCAGCAAGTGGAGCAGTTGTCCAAGCCTTCACATATATTCGGGCAAAGAAAATGCACAAATCTCTTAGTCCTCTGTTCTCCTTTGGAGTAAGCTTAAACTGAGAACGGAATAACCACACTTTGAAGGAATTAATGGTCTTTGCCATCCATCGTGCTTGGTGCATTGCACCAGGAGCAGAAAATTGTACTCCCCGAGAAGGTGATGTGCCAAGGAAGATGGAGGCCAGCTCTAGCAGCTCTCGATAATCATCTCGAAGCTGTGTCTCCAATAGAGCCTTCTCAATGAAGTTGGTTAGATCGTCCCTAACAGCTCTGACCGATTCTTCTGCCAGATCGTCGGTGGAGGAGTCTTCAAACTTCTGCTTGTCAATTTGTTCCCATTTGGCTTGGAATCTTCGGAACAGCTGTATTTCAGGAGCAGCTGAGTGCCCCATTACAGCTTCAAAAGCAGCTCCAGCTACAAGTTCTAGTACATGGTGGCGGCAGGCAAAATATAGCAAATCACGACCCAGCAACTGCTCAATTTTGACACACGAACCCTTGTGGTGACCAGTATTTGAGCTTGTTGTATCAAAACACATGCCATGCACGATGTCTGTAATGTGCCATTGCTGCAAAGCCTTCACAACAGCTTTTGCTTGTTCATCACCGGTACCAGAGGGAAGTTTTGGAACAGCAAGAAGTTGGGAGGTGCCATTGCCTGAGACAAGAACTGGGAGTCTGTCAACATGGCCCCCATGCCCCGTCAAATCAGGCATCAATTTACCATCCCAGTGAACAATTAAAACTGACTCTGGTTTGAAGTTTGAAAGGATTTCAGCTGCCCTGCTACTGCGATGATGCTGACGTTTCCTCCTGATGCTTGATCGATTCAGAATCAATTCACTGACATCATGGCCCAGACTCCGAGCAGTTTGGGTGACAATGTGCATGGCCATTCTATCTGAGGACTTGGTCCGATCTAATGCTGCAGAAAGTTCTGGAGTTAGAACTTCTTTTCGCCCACGCTTCTTGACAGTAGGTGGAGTTTGAAGTGCTGATGGGCCAGGAACTGGGTTGGATTCCTCAGAAGAAGACGTACTACTGCTGTCCAAGACAACGATGGCCTGGCATTTTTTGGCTTCTGCCTCTGCACTGTCTGCAGCCAACTTCCTTTTCATTGCTTTCTTGAGAGGTTTTTTCTCGTCGTTTCTGTCTTTTCAGGAATACTTTGTCAAGAGATGACATTGCCCCACGACGCCCTTTTTCTCGTTGCGCTATTAAGAAATCCTTATCCTCCTGAACTGTCATCATATACAAAGCATTCACATGTGCAATGTCAAAGAAATCTTCAAATGTATCAGTGAACTCTTTCTCTTTCTGCTTTTGAGTTTCTGTCTTTCTTTAAGAGTTCTTTTTCAAACTACTCCACTTGTCAAACATTTTGTGCACTTGATTCACACAATTTGGTTTGTGGTGTGTGGGAATGTTTGCTTTTGTCCAAAATTGAAGAACTTTGTCTGTGACTTCCCCAGCTGCCACTCTGATGTTTTTTCTGTAAACGATGCAGGCTTAAAAAATACTGTAACACTTGCCTGTTTGAAGGTAACTTAGCCCCTGTAATGGCATCACATTATGTCTTTATCAAATACATATTTTCTCGTGTTTTTACTCCTGCATTAGCCATTTTGACCTGAGGAATTAAGAAATTAACTATTAATATAAATTAATAATGAGAATACTCTGTAGAACTGTTTCTAATTTCCCCAATCATCAATCACGACCAGCAAAAACTCACCACAATCGTGCCAAATGCGACGCACTAGTGGTGGGCGTAATCGGCTACAGAGTAATCGACTACATCGATTACTTAATTTTTGACAGCTTTGAGCAACCTCTAAATATTAATATATTTAAAAATAACTCTACACACAATGTTTTTGTCCTAAATGGAGACTTTTAGCAGGGTCTGTGGTAAAAAATTCCAAAGTTGAAAAATAAGGACCACCCTAATATATATATATATATATATATATATATATACATATATATATATATATATATATATATATATATATATATATATATATATATATATATTGTATATATATATATATATATATATATATATATATATATATATATATATATATATATATATATATATATATATATGTCTCCAGGGAGGTGTGGCTAGGGGGGCAGACGAGTGTGTTGGTGACTTGGGGACACGACCATTCACCCAGGAACGCTGATCTCTTCCACTATCTGACGCAAGGGGACCACACCCTCACCTGTCGGGCCGTCATTCTCTATCTCTCCTCCGTCCTGTCCTTCAATCCCTTTGTTAATGACGTTAACGACTCTGTCGGTGCCTTCACCTCCTCCAACACCCCCAGCAGTCCCTCCGTCAACGTGTCCGCCGCTGATGTTATGACGTAAGTTAACTCTTGGTGTATGTAGATGGTGTGTCCGTTACACCCTCACTGGGGCACCTCTCCGTGCTTCCTTCCATCCCACCTAAGTTCATCAACGGAAATACACAAAAGTATCCTGCGTAGAACAGTAGAATTCCATATGCTAAACTGTACTTATTTTATGTGCTGTACTTCCTTGCACTAACAGTTAAGATTTTTTTAGTTGTTTCTTTGTTTTTCGTCTTTTATGATTTTTCTTGGTTTTAGATTTTGGTGTTTTGTGGTCAGCGACAATTTGTGTGTTTATCGAGGAAAGCATATACATGTACACACATACACGGCCCCACGCACAAACATAAATACACCCGCGCCTTTCTCTACAGTACTTCTCACAGTGGTCCAGGTGGGCAAATTCTTGGCCAAAGGTCTATGGATATTACACCACAGTGTTCCCCAAAATCTCTTGAATCGTCTTAGTGTAAATCCAGATCCATCCACATTACATATTTCCTTACAAATACATTATTTTTACGTGAACATTTGTATTAGTGTTTTAATTCAGATTACTAAAAAAAATGGTCTATTGTAATGGTGTGTCTCATCCATCTTCCTCAAAGGTGCCTTTATTGTCTGGATTTAAGTAAAGGTCAATGATCTTCCTTCTTTTTATGGGTACCATCATTATCTAATCTATATACACTGGCTGCACTGAAACTTTGTAATAATAACATCCAGATGAACGTACTAGTGAAAGCGTAAAAAACATTAGAAAACTGTACCTGCATTTACTTCTTGTTTACGATTACATCCTGCATGTCAGCCAGACAGAGTTATCACAGGAAACGAATAGACGGCAATGTTCTAGCTGTATAGTTGTCATAAAATTCAAAATATCTCACAAACCGCAGCTACCCGCAACGTGATCACGTGTTTTATAATTGATACCCTGCTTAATGATAATTATTATATACAATGTCGTAAATGCGCATAAATTCCGTTCAGATTTCAGTCATTTCCAGAACATCTTATAAATATATATATATATTTTATTCATATAACCACCCACAAACAGTTTTCTTAAGCATCTAATGTTAAGTAATTTATTTGTGGCTGGTTTCGGTGTTTCCTGGATAATAAATAACATCTAACAATTCTTATTGTGTTGATTCCTTCAAAACGAAGCACTTTAGTAATATAATTCCATATCATATTTCTGCAGAATAATGTGATCTATTCATTATTAAATGCAGTATTATTCTTCACTTTATCATACAGGCTCTTGTCCATAAATAAGTTATTTCAGACCACTGACATCGTCAGGTTCCTGGAGGAGACGGAGGTGGTGCCCGAGACGCTTGTGGTGGTGGTGGGACCCAGGTCGCGGGCTCACGCCCTGGCACATCCGAAGCTCCACGACACACTGCACGCCTTTTACCTCACCACCCACGACCCCTCCACGCCTCCTGACACCTCCTGTTCACCAGGTAAGGAACAAATTAGTGGTGATGAGGCTCCCCTTAGGAGTGGTGATATACCCATTAGTGGTGACCATCAGCGGCTGTGAATATAAAACAAAAGATCACAAATTTCTAGAGTCAGGGATGATCTCTCTCTAGTGTGTACTGTATACTTTTTATCTCTAACCCCGCCAGGAGAGTGTGAGGGAGAGGTGGAGGTATACAGGAGGTGTTTGTACTGTCGGGGCGGCCAGCCAGGGGTCACCCTCTTAGATCGCTGGCACCCACTGGCCGGGTTCGTCAACAACAGGTCCCTCATCCCTGGTGAGTGGGTAACACCATTCGGGTTTTACTGATGGTTATGTTTACTCCGACTACTGTTTACTTTATTGTTTGGTCTCAAAGATTTGGTTATCTCTCAATTGTTGACTACATTGTATTTAGTTTGTTTGGTTTATTAGTTTCAAGTTCCAGTGTTAACACATTTTTGCTGCCTTCAATTATGTTATAAAAAAACATCTTTGTTTACATAGTGATGCCGTTCGAACCAAGGTAGGTATCTACCTACCTTGGTTCGGATCTCCTGCATAATTGCATCATCCATACTTGATAAAGGAGCTATCTCAGCACATTGGTTTTCTCGTGTCTGTTACTCGTTTAAACATTTGGGGACAATTGTTATGTCTCAGAATAAATACTTGTGTTCGACTTAATAGAGAACTTACAGGGTGTTCATACTGGCGAGACTCTACACAAGTCCTTAACTTCAGTTTGTTATGATCATATATTTCATTATTAATTATATAGAGGATTTCGAAGACTCATGTAAACAACCATACCTTTTCTACCCCCCCCCCTCACTCTTATCCTATACCACTTACCTTTCTATTCTCCCTCATTTTCTATTCCTCTCTCACTTATTTCCTGCCCCTTGCCCCTTGCCCTTATCATGCATTCTCCTTTCATCCATGAACCTTTCTTTCCCCCTCATTCATGTCCCTTGATCCCTCCCTCTAATTTTTACCCTCTCCCTCCCTCTACCTTCACCCTCCCTCTACCCTCACCCTCCCTCTACCCTCCCTCCCTCTGCCTCACCCCTCCCCTCTACCCTCACCCTCCGTCTACCCTCACCCTCCCTCTACCCTCACCCTCCCTCTACCTTCACCCTCCCTCTACCCTCACCCTCCCACTACCCTCACTGCTCCAGACCAGTTCGAGGACATGGAAGGACACGTAGTAAGGATTGTGGCCAAGGCCTTGTTCCCCTTCGTGTCTTATGTGGAGGACACCGACGCCCCTGGCACCACCGTCACCCCCAATGACTCCCTCGACATCCGCATCCTTGACACAGCAGCCTCCATCCTCAACTTCAAGTGGGTACTTCACTATATAGAACCTATATATATATCTATCTATCTACCGAATGTCCGTCCATCCATCCATCTATCTATCTATCTATCTATCTAATCTTTCCGTCCATCTATCTATCTATCTATCTATCTTATCAAGTAGTAGGTAGTAGGCAGCTACCAAACAGGGAGGTCCTACCGCCTGGGAAGATATTGGAAGCATAATGTGTTGTCTAATGGTAGACCCTGCTGCCATATGGCATCACGAAAATTGTGACCAAGTCCCAGGTTGCTGATCTGACTTTCTGCCTCATTTACATACAATTGCAGGGTCTCAATTGTTTCTCTTACTATTGACAACACAACACACATGATATAATGTTTATCGTTTCTCACTCTTGATTTATTTTTTCGTTTTTGTTTTTATTTATGGTTATTATATTATTTGTATTATTTAATTTTATATTTATATTAATTATTATAATAATAATAATAATAATAATAATAAAGAACTATAAAGAAATACAAAAATCATAAAAAATCAAGAGTGAGAAACAATATAAGTGTGATGTGTTGTCAAAGTAAGAGAAAAAATTGAGACCCTGCAATTGTGTGAAATGAGGCAGAAGTCAGATCATATATATATATATATATATATATATATATATATATATATATATATATATATATATATATATATATATATATATATATATATATATATATATATATATATATATAGCTATCCATCTATCTATCTATCTATCCATCTCAAGTTGACATGTTCTTATTCATACACTTTTACTACACTTTAATGTTCGTGATCTGTGACATAGTGTCCTTGGCAGGTACGTGATCCGTGCACCGGTGGACGGGGTGTGGGGAGCACGGACGAGGAACAACACGTGGACGGGGATGGTGGGGGAGCTGTGGCGGGGTGAGGCGGACTTCTCCCTCCGTCTATTCTGGTCGGCGGCGAGAAAGGAGGCCATAGACTTCACCCGCGCCTACATCTTCGAGCCCTTTGTCATGATCACCCGCAAGCCTGGGCCCCTCCCCCAGCACCTGGCCCCCATCAAGCCCTTCACAGGTGCGTGTGTGTGTGTGTGTGTGTGTGCGTGTGTGTGTGTGTGTGTGTGTGTGTGTGTGTGTGTCTTTAGGGTGTGATCTCTATATGTGATGACTCCCCCATGTATTCTCCGCAGGCGATATCTGGATAGCCCTGGTTGTGACCACGACGCTAGCTGGTGCCATACTGTGGGGGGCGCAGAGGGCGTGGTCACGGTTCTCTGGGGGACGCGGCTTGGATGCAGTCTCTGCCTTCCTATACACCTTGGGCATGCTATTGGCGGAGCCCACCGACGCCCTGCCCACTAACATCACTGCCCAGGTACTTTAATTATTGATGTGGGATGAAGTAAAACTTGTTTGCCCATTAAACGAGCTTTAATCAACTCCTTTCACAAGATATCCGAAAATAACATAAGGAAACAATTATTATACAAATATAACATAAAACGGAGAATAAAATTAATGTTCCTAACAATGGAAACTATATAAATTATTAGCGTCTTGGGTATGTTGTTTAGTCTCTCTCTCTCTCTCTCTCAATTACCCAGGCTAATTTTGGCTACAGGTGTATGTCACTGATTACAGGTGTGATGAAACCTTAAACTAGGATTCCATTCACACGGTTGCGTTAGCGTTATGCGATTGAAAACCCAACCGCATGGAAACGGACGAGCGAACCTCACACTGTGACGTCACTAGTTCTTGTTTCAAACACCTGAACACCTCACCCAGACATCAGATGTTCTTGTCACAGTTATGTATTTCACAAATATTTAAGAGGAAATGTGACCAAAAAAAAAAAAACTTCATTTTATACAGCATTCATCTGCCGTGATCTTACATACTGAGCAGGTGTTTCATTAGTTCACTCAGTATACAGTACAAAAATAAGTATTTTTGGAATGCATTTGTATCATACATTTATAAACCTAGCAAGTGTTATTTAATCAGGTAATTAAGTATGCTTCATTATTTGTATATCATTTTACTAGATCCATATATTTTTTATACATTTGTTCTAAAGTGAAGGTTTATGGTCTCAATAAAAGGGTTCTTTGGAATACAAATGATCTTATACAAAACCAGGATAATTAATAGTAAATCAGCCTGCTCATATAATTAGTGTCGTAGCTTCAATGAGCTGGGAGCCATCTGTCCTGTCCTCTTCCCGGTGTGTAGACAGAGTATGCATCGGCAAATAGAAATGGGGGTGTCCGTTTTCCACGGCAATGTAACGCAAACGCATACTGCAAACATATACCACAATCACATATATGAAATTCTAGCTATAGTGAGCACTCTTGGCGGTAGTAATAACTATATACAGTAGTGCGGGTCTCTCAGATGCTGGTGGGGTCGTGGTGGGTGTTCTGCGTGGTGGTGGTGGCCATGTACCGCGGGTCCCTCATCGCCCACCTCACCGCGCCCGTCAACCCGTCGCCCATCGACACCCTGGACCAGCTGCTGGAGGTTGAGGGCGCCACCTGGGGCCTGGAGGGTGGGCACGGGGTCGGCTGGGACTGGTTCAAGTACAACACCAACCCGAAGGTGCAGCACATGTTCACCACCATGCAGGTAACTTCCTCTTAACCTAACTTAACGACTCTACCCTAACCTAATGGTATGGAATTTTAACCTAACCTAACCTAACCTAACCAAATGGTGCAGATGGTACAATTATATCACGCCTTATAACCCATAACAGGACCACTTTAGTCGTAAACAAACACAGGATGTCTCCCCCATCCATCTCATTTTAACAAGAACGAGGGTTGTGTACTGTTGAGTGACTTTGGGGGATGTTTGTCCTCTGCAGTATTATGTGTAGGTCATATTTATTTTAGCCGATTCTATTTGGTCAGGGAATAGTGGACCAAAATACCTTGTTGGGATTTGTCATCATTGTTACATTAAAATTTATACAGAAACTTGCATATTCAGTAATGGTAGAAAATTTTATTTTTGACTGTGTTAGAACCCAGGCTACATTGTTTACCAATGTCAAGAAAATCGGTAAGACAGCAACAGAAAGGTGTGTGTATCCGCCATGGAAATGATAGCTCTCTCTCTCTCTCTCTCTCTCTCTCTCTCTTTCGTGTAATCTATCTATTTAGCTGTAATTACAGATTTATCGCTTCAACTTGTCCTTCCTGCGTTTACCTGTGTTGTTCCCATGGCAGGTGACGCCGCGGGAGGAGCAGCTGGCGCGGGTGTTGGGTGGTCAGCACGCCTTCTTCACTTGGAAGTACTACATCAAGATGGTGGTCGCCCTCCACCACACTGACATCTACGGCCACACACCCCTCCACATCAGCAAGCAGGAGTTTATCTCAGGCCAGAGTGGCTGGGGCGTCAGGTGAGGGGGGGGGGCGAGGGGATTAGGTGAAGGGTAAGAGTGGAGGTCAAGTGAGAGGAAGGGTGGAAAGGTTATGATGAGGGGAGGAAGGGAGTCAACTGAAGGGAAGGGAAGAAGTCTGTCAGGTGACAGCGAGGGGGAAGGGTGTCAGGTGAGGGGGGGGGGAAACGTCAGGTGAGGGAAAGGGAGAAGAGCGTCAGGTGCTGGAGAAGGGCGTCAGCTGAGTACAAAACTAACAGGTAGAACGTCAGTTGGGTGGGCCAGAGAAACGTCACCATTCTAACTTACGTTCTCTGTTCGTCAGGAAAAACGCGCCCTTCCTCAAGCCTCTGGACAGGATCATCGGACGCCTGGTGGAGACGGGCCTCATCGATCACTGGTTGGAGGAGCTCTTCGAGGCTTCCCTGGCCAGGATACGAAGGGCCCGACGGACTAAAGGAGGCGGCGACGAAGACCTGCACCCTCTGGTAAGACTATATCTTATATGTTAATAGTTGAACTTGTTACATGTCTTCTGTTGCATAAATTCATATAGAGAAAAAGAGACAAATATATCCATTTTACATCTACTCTTATACATTATCCCAGACTTCGTCAAGATCTGTTTTATTCACAACATTCCCAATTTGACCTCAATTGTCTAACCCAACCCAACCTAACCTAACCTAGCCTAACCTAACCTACCTCGATTAAGTGAGCCATTACTCCCGCGTCAGGGCGAGAGGGAAGAGATGGTGTTAAACCTGGAGCACATGCAGGGGGCCTTTTACCTCCTGATACTGGGACACTGCCTCGCCACCCTCGCCTTCCTCACTGAATGGTACACGTTGACGCTGTCCACCTGCCACCCACAACACTAGGAACTACTACTCTCACATTTTCAGCAGTACTTGAGGAGTCTGCTGTCATCCGGGATCAGCCATGGTTCTCTATTATAGCCCGGATCAGTCAAGGTTCTCTATTATAGCCCGGATCAGTCAAGGTTCTCTCTTATAACCAGGATCAGCCATGGTTCTCTCTTATAGCCCGGATCAGTCAAGGTTCTCTCTTATAGCCCGGATCAGTCAAGGTTCTCTATTATAGCCCGGATCAGTCAAGGTTCTCTCTTATAACCAGGATCAGCCATGGTTCTCTCTTATAGCCAGGATCAGCCATGGTTCTCTATTATAGCCCGGATCAGTCAAGGTTCTCTATTATAGCCCGGATCAGTCAAGGTTCTCTCTTATAACCAGGATCAGCCATGGTTCTCTCTTATAGCCAGGATCAGCCATGGTTCTCTATTATAGCCCGGATCAGTCAAGGTTCTCTATTATAGCCCGGATCAGTCAAGGTTCTCTCTTATAACCAGGATCAGCCATGGTTCTCTCTTATAGCCAGGATCAGCCATGGTTCTCTATTATAGCCCGGATCAGTCAAGGTTCTCTATTATAGCCCGGATCAGTCAAGGTTCTCTCTTATAACCAGGATCAGCCATGGTTCTCTCTTATAGCCCGGATCAGTCAAGGTTCTCTCTTATAGCCAGGATCAGCCATGGTTCTCTCTTATAGCCCGGATCAGCCATGGTTCTCGCACCCACATGCAGGTCGACACGCCTTCACGTTCTCCACAGCTGGTAACGATACCGAGTGTACCCTGTGTCATATGATGAACCTCTAAATGTATGCTGCAGTATGTGTCACATGTTGCACCAACAATGTGTCCTACCGTATGTGCCACCTGTTGAACCACTAAATGTGTTCGTGTAGCAAGACAATAAAGGAAAGCAAACTTGTGTGTAAAGGGTGTTAATTCTTTGGCCTTCTCAAGTGTTTTGTTAGTTGGTCTTTATATGTTTTACATTTCAGTAGGTGATACATAAACGCTGTTATGTATGTGTGTGTAGAGAGGGAGAGAATAAATATAAACACACGACATAATTATAATACCTCTATGGCAACTGACGTAGTCATGTACACTATCAATAGCCGTCAGATAAGCATGGCGAGAAGCTGCTGCCATGCTGAAACTAATACAGCTGGGATTTGGGATCCCCAGAGCAGCCACGAGATTCCCCCAGCAGCATGAAACTACAGTAACACTTTCACCGGATGATTAAACATTCATATGCTTCTTGTATAAGTTAGATTAGGTTAGGTTAGCATTAGGATGTCCAATCATCGGGTGAAATAAGTGGGGGTGCCTAATGTTCATGTGATTCCGAAAAAGTTCTCATTAGATTTAGAATAATTCAAAACTCTCTATCATCTTGGTCAGAAGGGACGCAATTGTTCTAGAACAACCAACAGTCCAATGATACAGGTAACCCCCAGTTACCCCCAGTGAACATTCATCGTCAAGCAATCAAGTCATACTTGCTTAGGTAAGTAATCAGCATCTCCCCAGTGAGTAAAACTAATTAACAGTTTTTTACACAGCAGAATGGATCAAACGACAGCAGCTGACCTTAGCACCCTCAAGACACGAGTGGGTTAACACCTCGTGATCTCTGACTATATCCCAGTGTATATAAAAAAATACTAAAAAATATAAAACCGTATCTATTAACTTAAAAAATATATATATATCCAAAAATGTATCCATTCTTGTTTTTGTTTTGTATTTTCTTTGGACATCAATAAAATAGCGGATTTCTTAATATTTAAAGCATTTGTGCATACTTACATAATGACTACAACATACGAAAGCCTTTCCCATGTAGCATGTGTCTGGCAATGGGAATATTTCTTCAAGCTTCAAGAAATTCTTTTAGTTAATGAGAGAATGGGAGTGTATCGTTATATATTTCACATTTCTCTTCGGTAGAGTACAAAATCATGTAGGTGATTTAATGATAAATTGTGTGACTCTTAAACCACAAATTGGTGGTGAAATAGTAAATTTTTTCACTGGTAATTTTATTGATTATATAAATAGTATCATATTTAACACAAAAACATTAAGTTTATTGTATATAAATAGACTGATTTTCTTTTACAAATTATTAATATGACAACAATGTTAAATATAAATGTAATACAGTAATGCCCTCAATAACTTTACTGATAATAAAGGTACATTAAATTGAGGGGTTTAAACCATATTATGATTAATTGTATAATATTAACTTTCCTAAATTAAAGGTTATAAAAGACACTGACTTAATATAATGAAAGAAAAGATATGGTCATTCTAGATTGCTAATTATGTTACCAAATTTAATGGGTGATTTTAACGTAAAAGTTGGGAAAGGACCAGAAGTAGACCACATGGGTTGGATAATAGAAATGAGAGGAGAAATATTAATTGACTTATGTTAGAAAAACAAGATGATAATTGCAAATACATGGTTGAACAACACCCCAGGCATCTCTGTACACGGGTCTCACCCCAGGACAATGTAAACAGCAAACAGAACTGAAGTCAGGAATCAAATATATTACAGTGGTATTTGCTCAGGGTATCACGTATCGACCTAACCTACATCGACCTGTCAACTTATCACCCTCATAGACCTATGGACCTATGGATCTAGCCCTCATCGACCTGGACCAGAGCAGATGTGTGTGGGTAGAGAACCTCCAACAGTGACGTCATCTAGACCGGTGCCCTCTGGACTACTACGTCATCCACCCAGCCCAGCTGACAGATGTAAACAAGAGGATATCTCCATGTACAATCAACTCTACGGTATTTGGTATTTCACAAACAATCATTAGTTATATATACACATAATATATATATATATATATATATATATATATATAATTTAAAACATGTCTTCACACGGTAGACATCGTGATAGATTATTAATTATCAAGTGCCTTGTAACAATAATGAAAAAATAACTTATACAATTAATTATCACTAAAATTTCATTTCACATTACCTTATTGTGAATGGATTGGCAAAGTTATTAAACATTTAAATCTAAGAAACATTTATGGATCATTCATATATTGTTAACGATCAACATAATGAAAACTTAGATGGTGATTCAAGTGACACTGTACCTCATGGCACCGTTAACACTGACACATGTGAACTCCAAGATGCGCATGAATTTCAAGTCATTGAACCTGAACTAACAGCAAACACTTCAGTAGAAGTGAGTGAAGCAGTCATAGATAAAACAGATAACGAATTATTATGTACACAATTTAGGTCAGGACATTCTTACAACACTACACCTCTGTATTGTGAACCTATCGCTGACAGTGTATTGACATCTTCTGATCCATGCACGAGTAGCTTACCAGCATTGCCATTAACTAGTAAACCTTTAACCACTAACATGACTAACCCAGTGAATCATACGACTGAAGATGGTTTCTATGCAAAACAAAACGGTAATACCTATCAGTTTAACAAAGCCAAGAAAGGCAACTCCAAAAAGCAAAATCAAACGTTAAATCCAAGTGCAGTAAGCAAGACCTACAATGCTTCCGAACCCAAAAGTAACCAGTGATGTTTACTACATCATTCTTCATCACACAGTTCAGAGGATTGTGTAACTCTGCATCAATGCAGGCAGGATTATCTAAAGCGCAATCAATGGCGTCAAATTCAAAATCCGTCGGGGGAAGATTTGCGCCATGTCAAACACGACCTGGGATAAGATCACATATTACTAGCAATGCTTCCATGACAGCTTCATTGATCGCTGCACTAAGTAAAGTGAAAGTATTGACAATACCAGTGAGTGTAGGTAACATCAAGCTCTCTTTAGACATAGATACGGGAGCGTGCGCTAATGTTATCTCGTTAACGTCATTTACTGAATTGAATCGACGTTTTCCTGACAATAAATGGCGAATAAGACCTACTGATGTCGATCTCTCCGGAGTATCAGGCCAACATTTAGATAATATGGGAGTCATTATATTACCTATAGGTTTTTGTGACTCCAGTGAAATCTTTCTAGCTGAGTTTTATATCGTAAGAGATTTTTTTCTATCAGCTGATGGATTATTTGGTCTTCAAACACTAAAACAAAATAATATAGATGTCCAACCTAGTCGACATACTAAAGAAGTTCAAAGATGTGATATTTGGATAATTTGGTTATGAAATAACAGTCTATACGGATCATGCAGCAGTAACGGAGTTATTCCAAGGAAAGAACTTCTCTGGCAGACTTGCACGTTGGTACTTGACCATTCAAGAATTCGAACCCGCCTTTAAACACTTACCGGGACGCGCTAATGTGGTTGCCGACTCACTGTCTAGACACATAGCTCCAGTTATACCAATACCCTTGTTCACTCCACAAAAATTAAGAGAGGAACAACAGCAAGATCCAATGTGGTCTAAAGTAATTTATGCTCTAGAATCAGGTGAGGAGGACAATCTACCAAAGTTACCTCTTCCGTTCAAACAGTTTGAACTGCAACAAGACATACTGCACCATACAACAAAAACAGTGCAGGATACTGTCACACAAATTGTCGTACCTGACAACCTACGAGACACGGTACTCACTCTGTACCACAATACACCTCAAGCAGGCCATCCAGGGCATGACAAATGCCTTGCAGAAATAAGAAAATCTTACTATTGGAGTACAATGAAAAGGGATCATCGAGCTACACACTGCTAATTGTTTATCTTGTGCTCAACACAAGGGAACTACGATGTACCCTGCTCCAATTATCGAATACCCAACGCCCGAACGTCCATTCGACACAGTCGCAATCGACTTATTGCAACTGCCAAAAAGCCATCAAGGCTCTAGCTACATACGTGTGTGTGTTGATCACTTCTCCAGATTCATGATTCTAGTTCCCTTGGAGGATAAATCCGCGGAGACTGTGGCATACGCTTTAGTGACGCATCTCATATGTCCGTTCACTGCACCTAAGGTTATTCTATCCGACAACGGATCAGAATTTGAGAATCAACTTCTTGCAACCATATGACAACAATACGGCATTCAACAAAGCTTCACAGCAGCTTATCACCCGCAATCAAATGGCCCAGTTGAGCGGACCAATCACAAAATCCTAGAGATTCTCAGACATATAGTGAATCCAATGCAGGTAGCATGGGAGGATTGGTTACCTCAAGTAGCAGCGTCAATAAATGGGTCAATAAATAGCTTCACAGGCAAAGCACCCTACTATATCATATATGGGGCCGACAAAAGGTTACCCTATGGCATACTTACAAGACCTACACAACCTGTATATAACATGGATGATTATGCAAAGAAGCAAATCAATGTCTTCACTGACATCCACGGAAAAGTGCATAAACAATTAGCAGCATCGCGCGCTGAAATGATTTACACACAACATAAACATGCTAAGCCTATCAAGCTTCAAATAGGCGACGCTGTCATGATAAGAGAACCTGAAAGAATCTCTAAACTTTCGCGGACATTTTCAGGACCCTTCCCGATAATTGCCAAAGAGCACTGTAACAATTTCAAAATACTTAAACCAGATACTCAAATTACCGACGTAATACACGTGGATAGATTTAAAAATGTGAGCCCTGACTTGCTTCCCACCACTGTACACGACGTTCCTACACAAGCAGTAGACTCTACGACTGCACAAAATGAAAACCAAAACGCCCAAGACGTACCTACGCAGGTCGTAGACACTACAAATACACAAACTGTATCCAATGAGTATCGCATGAAACTACGTCCTGCAGGTACAGATTAAGCGTAGATAGATGCACGTCTGTATACTACAAGCTCAGTAACGTGAATGTTATATAAAACAAGCTGTTAGTAATCTCCTTGACGCTTTGCAGATAGCCAAGAGATCTGTAATTAACCCCTATCTA